TTGTTCATCTTCATTTTTCACTTCAGAATAAAATTGGTAGCTCAGATATTGTACATATGTCATCTTTTCTGTTTTAAAGTAAGTTCAAGACCAGGTATACTCTGGGTTTTGAAGCCTAGAGAGTTTTAGTGCTATGATTTGTGATTTCATAAAAACTTTAAGAACTGGTATGATTCCATGATTTGAAAGCTAAGAATTGATATGGTTCTATGATTTGAAAGCTGTAAATTATAGCTGTGTTTGTATTCAAATCTTACGACTGGTTTGCCATATGTAGACACAAATAAGGAGTAAAATTAAAGTTTTCTTATGGCTATAAAGTACTAAAACTAGTTTTCACATGTGACTTCTGGAAACCTTTATTTCGTAACTACCATATGAGGTAGAAAGTTTATCTGTACTAAGTTCAAATTGCTGGGTTAGACATTATAGGTAACAGGAAGATGTAAAAGATACCTACTGCTGCCTCTACTGAATTTATAGTTCAGTCGGTGAATAAGGCACACAACTATTTTATAACCTAGTAGTAATGTTCTAGCAACCAGTTTGGCCAAGTCATGGAGTTTGTCTTACAGTTGATTTTCTCACTTGTAAAATGAGGATTTTGAATTAGAACTTTAAAATATTTTCTAGTATTAATATAATGACAGTGAATTCGATTCTATCATAAGGACTTAATTTACATAATGATTTATCTTTTTAGATATGTCTGTTCAGTGTAATAACTGATGGAATTTCTACCTTTGGAGAAGAAACAATTATTCTTCTTAAGCTAAAATTTAGAAAGTAATCTTATTTTTTCCAAAAGTGTTGAAATAGCTCAAATCTTAAACTAGTAGTTCTTTTCAATGACCATTTCTTTTGGTACAGATTAATTTTTAACCTTGCAAATCATTGTAAAAATGTATATTTTGGTAACCTTTCTATTCAAGAGGAGCTAGTCTATCATATTCTCAAATCTTAGTAAGTAGGGAATTTGTCCTCTCTCCTCCAGAATGTTCCCTGAAGATCTCTTCATCTTCCCAAATGGCATTCTTAAAAAGGAAACGTGATCATTCTACTTTGTTCTGGTAGATAATGCTGCTGAAAGATAACTTGAGAAATTAACTCTTTAGGTGAGAATGATTTATTCCAACTTTTTTGCCTTTTTTCTTTTTTCAAACTTTTGATTTTGCTTTAATAAAAAACATTGCCCAAATAGTAACTTTGAAGGTGTCACAAATGATATTGCAATTATAGAAATACAAAGACATTACTTCATGACTAGGGTGAGATTATCAAAGAATATGAGTCCAGTATGTAGTAGAAACTTAGGTACTATTCTTTAAGTGGGAGAGGAATGAAATTGACCATCAGACAAAATGGCTGACTTTCAACTTTTTTGACAAAGTTCCTGAGGGAATCCTGGTCAACCCTTTCCTGACCACGGCTTTATCTTCATAGTGATGACTTGAAGCTGTTGTTTTCTTTGGTGAATGTTGATCTTCCAACTATTTCTGGAACTGATAATCTTAAGAGCCTTTTAGTATCCAAATCTTTGTACCACAAATTCTTTACTCTTAGCTACTAAGGTAGAAAACACTTCTGTAAGTTTATTTCCTATCAAAACTTTGCTGGAGTACTTCTTCTCATTGCATTTTTTTGGTGGTATATATATATATTTTTAATAGCTTTGCTCACCTGGTTTGGTTGTTTTTTGTGAATTAAACAAAAAAATCGTAAGCCCAAGTATACTAAGCAGTCATGTGAAAGTTGGAGTGGTTGATGGGTTCTTTACATTTTCATTACTCTTCGTAAACTACTGACTTGTAAATCTAAAACACTTAAACTTTAGTGGAATTTCACAACTATTAGAAATGTTTTTATAGGGCGCCTGGGTGGCTCAGTTGGTTGAGCGACTGCCTTCGGCTCAGGTCATGATCCTGGAGTCCCTGGATCGAGTCCCGCATCGGGCTCCCTGCTCGGCAGGGAGTCTGCTTCTCCCTCTGACCCTCCCCCCTCTCATGTGCTCTCTCTCATTCTCTCTCTCTCAAATAAATAAATAAAATCTTAAAAAAATGTTTTTATACTATAATGACCTGGAAAAATACTTGGGGAAAATGCTGAATAAGATACATGAACTTTAAAAGTAAAAAACTCAGGTCATATATTTATTATGTGCATATATTAATGTGTATATATATTATAAAGAATCCTCCCCCTCCCCTTTCACCTAACAATTTGGCAAACTAGATCAAGAGCCTTAAAAAAATTAATTTCTTTGGCTTGGTAATGCTTGTATTTCTAGGAAGTTTTTCCAAAGGAAATAATCAGAGGTAGTCAAAGATTGCAAAAATGTTGAGTGTTATTTATGAAGGAGAAAAACTGTAAAAAAACTAAATATAGAATGTCCGTATCCCATTAAACATTTGTATTCTGTTCATTTATTTTATTTTACTTATTTTTTTTAAAGATTTTATTTATTTATTTATTTGACAGAGTGAGACATAGCGAGAGAGGGAACACAAGCAGGGGGAGTGGGAGAGGGAGAAGCAGGCTCCCGGCCGACCAGGGAGCCCAATGTGGGGTTTGATCCCAGAACCCCAGGATCATGACCAGAGCCGAAGGCAGACACTCAACGACTGAGCCACCCAGGCGCCCCCTATTCGTTTATTTTAAAAATAACTTGAAATGCCTTGACATATGAACCATTTATTCCGTTTTTATCAGTTTTTTTTGTTGTTTATTTTTAAATAATTTTTTATGTACTTTGGAAGAAGGAGCTCAGGTAGTAAAACTCCTTAACTGAATCTAATGACTGTTTATGTAGACAAATGACTTCTATGATTTCCATTAAAAGCTTCTGTTTACAGTGCTCATATCTTTTTATATCAGAATCTCTTAAATGAGCATTGACTTTCATGGAAACAGACAAGTGTAACATACTTACTGCTTTTTGAAATTGTATTTCACACATGTAAGTCTAAAAAATGAATAAATATACTTCCTGATTTTAGTATTTAGCTTGAGCATATTTTATGCCCCAGGAATAAAAAAAATTGTATCTCAGAAAAACTTTTATTAAGGTGGTAGCCACACAACTATTACTTCAGTGATTTGTTTATTCACTTAAGAACTATGGTGGAAGGGGCGCCTGAGTGGCTCAGTTGGTTAAGCGTCTGCCTTTGGCTCAGGTCGTGATCCCAGGGTCCTGGGATCGAACCCCAGTCAGGCTCTCTCTCCCTCTTTCCCTCTCTCTCTCTCTCTCTCTCTCTCAAATAAAATCTTTAAAAAAACAACTGTGGTGAAAAAACAATAAGTAATTTATATTTTCCATCAGTATATAAATCATACAGCCTTGTTTTAGGATTCAGTCTCCTTTTGAGTGTGTGTGTATATGCACACATGTGTATATGCACATATGCATGCTATTGAGCTGAACATTGCAGCCTTTTTCTCCCCTCAGTAAAGGCTGGTTTCAGGATGCATGGCCAGAAACACACAGAACACTGTTAGTGAAGATACAGATCCTTTCAGTTCTTCCATGGTTCCTATTCTTCTGTGTATTTAGGTTACTGAAGTTTCATTACAGAGAGAGGATTACAAAATGGAAAAATGAGATCTCTTAATTCACAAATTTACAGGTTACAGAATGCCATTTTTCCCCCTCATGCATGTTTTATTTCTTTAGGACAGAACAGTGACCACTGATTGACATTTAATACCAGGATTAGAAATTCAGTTCAAGTGAACGTATGTCTGTGACTTATTTGCAGTCCTCTCTTGAGCATCGGCCCCTTTTTAAGCACTTCAGTCTGACCAAAAGCATAATCAACTCTTAGTTATTTGCAAAAATCATTGGATTTGAAAGCTTTAATGGGTGGTTTTCAGTGATGTTTTTTAAGTGTACAATTCAGTAGTATATTTGCAGTATTGTGCAAGCATCACCATAATCTTTAGAACATTTTCATGACTCTCAAAAGAAACACCATCCTAATTAGCCATCACTATTCATTCCCTTCCCTCATACCCTTTCTCAGCTCTAGAGAATCACTAATCTACTTTGTCTCTTTGCCTATTCTGGACATTTCATGTAAATATAATGCATAATAGGATGTCTTCTATGACTGGCTTTTTTCACTTAGTATAATATTTTTAAGTTGTAACACTGTATCCAGGTTGTAGATGTCTCAATACTCCATCTTTTTTCTTTTGCTGATTGTTGATTCTGTTGTATGGGTGTACATTTTGTTATTTATTTGCCAGTTAATTGACATTGACTTCTGTTTGGCTATTATGACTAATGCTTCTATTAATCCTGTACCTTTGTACAAGTGTTTGTGTGGGCATATGTTTTCATTTCTCTTTAGTAGGTACTTGAGAGTAGAAATCCTCTGTCATGCAGTTTAACATTTTTAGGGACTTCCAATAGAGTACCACTTTAACTATTAAGAATCAACTTTTTTTTTTTCCCAACTTCGAAATATGTTCGAGAAAGAGAATGAAAATGGCATTGGCATTTCTCTTTTCCCTACATCTTCATTGATCTTCAGCTCATTTGTTGTGTTTGACAGGTCTGTCTAGTAATCACTCTCCATGGAAACAATAAGGGACCCTTCTGAATATGAAAAGGCATTATTACTAATTATGTTGGGACCACAGGCATAAATTGGGACTGTCCTCAGCAAATTAGCACCAATGGTTAACCAACAAGAAGGGAAGGCTGTTGTTAGATTGAGCTTCCTTCCCTTGTCTGACAAATAAGAATCAATGGGAATATGGAGGTGGTATCTCAGATGTGAAGTCAGTCACAGGGGCAATTTTAGCAGTGTCTCTGTCTTCTGCCCCATTCCCTTAAATAAAAAAGCATCTTTGAAAGGAGGTGTTACTTGAGCTAAGGATATCTTTACTCCTATCCACAGGTGTATGTTCCAAATACAAAAATAAAGTGATTGAAATTAATCAAGCAGTGACTTACTAATTTTAATACTTACTTGAATTGATCATTTTATTTCTTCCAGGGAACAACAAATCATTACAACTTCAAAGCATCTTAGAAACTTTCACCTGTGCTAAAGCTTGGACAGTTTTTCCTTTCCTCTCATTTGAAAGGATTTAAAGAAGAAATAAAATGGCAGAGTTTTAAAGTTAAGATTCAGGATGAATGATGATAATTCAGATGAGAAGACAGAAGATGAACTGCAATCCTTATTTATCAGTGATAAAAATGGAAAGACATATGCATACAACCAAAAATCACCACACACACAAAACTCTTCAACCAATAATGTGAATTGGAATTCTGCCAAGCCAGATGAAATGGTGGTTGATTATGAAACCAACTCTGCTGGGGACATTGATGAAAATCTTGCTTCAACCCCTCGGTGTGTGGAAGTACTTGATCAGCAGAAGTCTTCAAATGAGTTGATTGGTAAGGAGGTGTTCGATATCTGTAAAGATTCCACACTTCAGTCTTGTGCATATGTTCTAAATACAGAGGAACCCAAGTACCTGCCTAACAAATGTCATTCCCTAGAATCATTTCAGGACCAGAGTGCTGAGACATCTCTGCCTTTTGTGTGGAAATCCAACAACGATGATTTGCACTATACAGACTATCCTACCGCCTTGGAGCTAAACCAAACATTTGACATGACAGTGGATCATGTTAACTGCACCTTTATAACCCATCATGCCATTGAAAAGAGTCAGTCTCTGCATACCTCTGGAAAGCGGCAGCCAACCGGCACGAGGGGTGGAAATCCATCTTTATCCTGTTCCATTCATACATCTTCACATTCTGATAACATACACGTGAGAGAAACAAATTATGATCAAGACAGCTTTGAAAACCCACAAGCCACAGAAGCAGAGGCTCAAGACACAACTTACACAGCATTTTCTGATGTGATGCAAACTGATGTTGTTGTTCCAGATACTGGCATTCAGTGTCCATATTCTTCAGGACGGGTCACCAGTGACTACACAGATGGGTCACAGCAAAAACTGGTTGGACAAAAAGAGATACAAACTCATACGCCAGTTTCTGAGGGCATGGTTGTTCCCAATGGGTCTGTATTACAAGAGTTCTTTTGTTTATCTAAGGATGAGCCGAATAGTGAGACACATTCACAGAGCTCATATGGGCAAGAGAAAATGGGCCAAAATCTAAGAAAAACAGTGTCCTATTGTCTTATAGATGATGAATGCCCTTTACTGGGGCCAGCTTTTGATAAAAATGAAGCCCAAGTGCTGAACCCAGAACACGAAGTCACTGTGGCTGAAGACACACAAAATGCCTTTAATGAAAAGGATTTAGAAACCCAAAATCGTACCACTGAATTGATACTGAGTAGCCCACCAGGACAAAAGATGGCTTCATCAGTTGAACTGAGTTGGGATGCAAATGATATGGTCATTAGCACAAATAACCCAGTTTGCATGTCAACGCCAGTCCTAGATTCCCCAAATGCAACCTTTTCTATTTCACCTATTGAAGGGACCAAGAAATGTAGTAAAGTGGAGAAGAGTCCTCGAGAGCTTCGAAATTTACCAAACTTGAAGGGGGCACCTATGAACATGTCTAAACCTAATCTAGGAAAACTGACAACTAAAATGAATACCCCTGTAGGCAGCAAAGTTAGAAAAACCGAAATTATAAGCTACCCAAGACCAAACTTTAAGAATGTCAAAGCAAAAGTTATGTCTAGACCAGTATTGCAGTCCAAAGACCCTGCTTTATCAAAGGTCACACCCAGACCTCAGTTAAGCAGTGCCTCATCACCCTCATCAGGGTCTTCCTCAAGACCGTTGACAGCTTTGAGCAAAACACCAAGGTCTGACTTGAATGCAGATACAAAAGCAGAAATCCTAATTAACAAGATGCATAAGCAGCAATTTAATAAACTCATTACCAGCCAGGCTGTGCATGTTACAACTCATTCTAAAAATGCTTCACACAAAGTTCCAAGAACAACATCTGCCATGAAATCGAATCAGGAAGATGTTGACAAAGCAAGTTCTAATTCAGCATGTGAGACTGGGTCCGTGGCTACCTTTTTTCAGAAGATCAAAGACATACTCCCTGTGGAAATGGAAAGCACAGGATGTTTGGAAATAACATATGCTTCCAGCATCAATAGGATTAGCCCCGAAAAGAAGGGTGAAAAAGAAAATGGGACACCTATGGAAAAACAAGAGCTAAAGAAGGAAATTATGAATGAGACCTTTGAATATGGTTCTCTGTTTTTGGTAAGTGAGATTTTTGCTTGCTTCGGTGAAGGGTGGAGGAAGCTGAGAGATGTACTAGCCATTGATTAACACAAATAGTCAATAATATTGCAGACCTAGCTGTGCAAATTTGCTTTCAGGTGTTAATATATTATTCAGTTATTCTTTGTCTTGTAAGTTGCACACTTTAGAGTGTTAATTGGTTACAATATAGGAAAACTGCATATGGGGAAAAATACAGTATTTTGTATTGCATACCAACATTCCTTTTAATAAGGTGAAAGAACGAGTTACTTTAATATTGTGGTATAATTAATTATTTGAAGTTAAACATCTGCTTATATTTTACACTTATGAAAAAGAGAAAGGTTTGTTTATGAACTTTAAAATGTGTTGGGCTACATTTAAGAAATGGCAGGGCTGGAGAGAGCTAGTAAACAGTATCAACATAAAAATAACTCCTGGTCTCTTCTGGAGGAAGCTGCTCTGGGAAGTGGAGCCCTCGCCTGTGTAAAGGGGGGTTGGAGATTCTGCCTCTGATCAGCCAATGTGAATTTGGTCAAATAGTCTTTGATACCCAGAGGTGAAAGGGTTAGACTAGTAGAAGTCTGAGGTCTCTTGTAGCCCTAACCTATTGATTCCTGATACGTTAAAATAAACAAACCCCTTTTATTCATGTACAGTGAAAAAACAGTCTGTTGTCTATAGCACCTGTCACATATTTGATGTGTGTGTGTGTGTGTAGGGGGGAGGAGGAGACTAGATAGTTCCATTTAAGCAAAAAATTCACATGCGGTTTAAAGATTGTTTTTCTTTAAACATACCTATATTTTTGTCAACAGCATGAAGAAACTAGTTTTCTGAGTTTTAAAAATGTTGGTCAGACCATTCTGGGGCTTTGTGTACTTGTCCTTAGCACTGATTTTCACAGTAGGGACTTAACATTTTGACTTCTGTCCCCATGTAGGCTTTCCTTGGGCTTCCGTCCTCGGGGCCAGGGATGGAGCTGGGCGCCAGGTTGGAAGGCAGATGTGAGACCTCTGCGTTCTCTGTGGAGGGCTCATGTCTGAGAGGAAAGAAGCACGTAAGGTGGAGTAAAGTGTTGAAGGGCTGTTCTAGAAGTGTTTTGAGGGTGTGTGAGGCAGTTGTCAGGTCCTTTTTAGGAGATAAATTAGGAAACACTGGATATTCCTGAGCTGTATGGGTTTAGAGATGTTTTGGCTTTTCTAACTTTTTTTGGGGAACAACAGTACCCACCAGTGATGTCTAAACTAATGCCATTGCCTATTTCAAAACTCCGATTTTTATTTTTAAGTTGTTTTCAAGTCAAATGTCGGGAACTTGTTTTATATCATTTATAATTTGATATTTTGCCAAGTGAAATTATAACCTCTGGTAATTCTAATCAACATTTTTAGTTTGGTGTTTATAGATATACATAAAAACAATACGTGTATTCCTCCTTGATTTACGGGAGGCTTTTGTCATGTATTGACATCTAACAGCCGGAAAAAACGAGCATAAAGTTTCTCTCAAAAACATTTGCCATACATATAAATTGGTTGTATAACTTTGAAATTAAAAGTTTTTGTGTGCGTTGAGTAAATCTTAGGCTTTCGATCTATACACATGAGACATAAAGCTGTTTTTCAGGCTCCTGTTGGAGCTGGGTGATAGAATCATCAGGTTGAAATGGATCCCAGGATATCTTGGGGAAGAAGTGCTTTTCATTTCTGGAATCTTGCTTAGGATTCCCATATTTTCAGCACAGACACTAATCAAATGGTTTTTTTAAAAAAAAAAAAAAACCCTCTTTTTTTTTTTAAAGATTTTTTATTTATTTATTTGACAGAGAGAGAGACAGCGAGAGAAGGAACACAAGCAGGGGGAGTGGGAGAGGGAGAAGCAGGCTCCCCGCTGAGCAGGGAGCCCCATGCAGGACTCGATCCCAGGATCCCGGGATCATGATATGAGCCGAAGGCAGGTGCTTAACCGACTGAGCCACCCAGGCGTCCCATCACCTCTTACACATTTTCACGTTATCTTGGGGAAGGGACAGGGCAAACCATCACAGGCCATGGGCTCTGCAGAGAGCTGAATGAGTAAACATTGCTTCGGGCTGATTCAAGCTCCCATTTCTTGGTCACTTAAGCAGTACCCAAAGGTTCTAAATCTGCCCTCGATCTTTGATGAGACAGTGCTGGAAGGATGTTAATTTTCATTGTGCCCTGTTGGTCTGGGGCTAAATTAGGCCTTGAGTTTACGGAATTCTTTTTTTTATTTTTTAAGATTTTATTTATTTGACAGAGACAGCCAGAGAGGGAACACAAGCTGGGGAGTGGGAGAGGGAGAAGCAGGCCTCCTGTGGAGCAGGGAGCCCGATGCGGGGCTCGATCCCAGGACCCTGGGATCATGACCTGAACCACCTAGGCACCCCCCCCTTTTTTTTTTAAAGATTTATTTATTTTAGAGCAAGAGCATGTACACACATGAGTGGGGGGAGGGTCATAGGGAGAGGAAGAGAGAGAGAATCTCAAGGAGACTCCCTGTGGAGCATGCAGCCGGATGCAGGGCTCGATCTCCATTCATGACCTGAGCCAATATCGAGAATCGGACACTTAACTGACTGAGCTACCCAGGTGCCCCTGAGTTTACTGAATTATTAAGTTGCCCACAATCTCACTGTCGTTTGGTCAGGGTTTATCCAAAACTTCAGAAAGTTTCTTATTTGGAGGAAGGATTTTGATTTTAATTTGATACAAGTTGAGTATAGCTACCTACCTATTACAGAGTTCTGTAAGTGGGATAGTGTATTAGCTAAAGGGGCAGTGAATCACCTGAAAGGGAAGGAATTGATCCTTTCTTGATGCCTGCTCTGGATCACTTTGCTCAGGTTTTGTGTATATATGTCATTACGTTTTCCCTGTGATATTCCAGTGCTGTATACATTGTCATTCACTCTTTCCAACAACAATGGGCCAGTTGTTAGCCACATTTAAAGGCTTCAGAAAGGCTACTTAAAACACACACATCTGGTAAGTAGGAAAACAAGACTCAAACCAAGGGCTCCTGACTGGAATCCTGGCCCTTTCTGCTTCATACACCACAGGCTTTCAAAATTTTGCAGAATGTTGGCTTGAAAGGCAGAGTAAATCTGATTTAACCAGCTTACAAAAGTAAATCTTTAACAAAAATGTGTTTTACCTTTTAAAAGGTTTTCTCTAAGGGATAACCTTAGCCAGCTTTGTGGTAGAGGGAGAAGATTTTGTAGTTTGTGTATAATCATATGCTTTTTTCTGGCCAATTTGGTGTAGTTCTCTTAGGATATTGCCGCCTTATTATTTTAAGTAACCCTGTAAATACTTTAAGTTATCTTAATTCCAGCATAGTTAATACACGTGTTTTATTAGTTTCAGGTGTGCAGTATAGTGATTCAATAATTCTGTGCATTACTCAGTGCTCATCATGATAAGTGCACTCTTCATCCCCATCACCTCTTTCACCCATCCCCCATCCACCTCCCCTCTGGTAACCATCAATTTGTTCTCCATAATCAGGAGTCTGTTTTTTTGATATGTCTCTCTTTTTTTCCCCCCCTTTGCTTGTTTGTTTTGTTTCTTCCACATAGAATGAAATCATATGGTAGTTGTCTTTCCCTGACTGACTTATTTTCACTTAGCATTATACTCTCTGGCTCCATCCATGTCATTACAAATGGCAAGATCTCATTCTTTTTATGGCTGAGTAATATTCCATTGTATATATATGCCACTTCTTTATCCATTCATCTGTTGATGGACACTTGGGCTGCCTCAATTTGGCTATTGTAGATAGTGCTGCAGTAAACATAGGGATGCATCTGTTGCCTTAAATTAGTGTTTTTTGTATTTTTTGAGGTAAATATCCAATAGTACAATTACTAGATCATAGGGTAGTTCCATTTTTAACTTTTTTGAGGAACCTCCATGCTGTTTTCATAGTGGCTGTAGCAGTTTGCATTCCTGCCAACCGTGCACAAGGGTTCCTTTTTCTCCACATCCTCGCCAACACTTGTTATTTCTTCTGTTGTTGATTTTAGCCATTGTGACAGGTGTGAGGTGACATCTCATTGTGGTTTTGATTTGCATTTCCCTCATGATGAGTGATGTTGAGACCCATCTTCGCATGGGTCTGTTGGCTATCTGGATGTTTATTGAGGAATGTCTGTTCATTTCTTCTGCCCATTTTTTAGTTGGATTATTTGTTTTTTGGGTGCTGAGTTGTATCAGTTCTTGATATATTTTGGATACTAACCCATTTTTGGATATGTCGTTTGCAAATATCTTCTCCCATTCCGTAGGTTGCCTTTTAGTTGTGTTGTTTCCTTTGCTGTGCAGAAGCTTTTTATTTTGATGTAGACCCAATGGTTTATTTTTGCTTTTATTTCCCTTGCCTTAAGAGACATGTCTAGAAAAATATTGCTACTGCTGATGTCAGAGACCTTTTTGCCTGTGCCCTCTTCTAGGCTTTTTATGCTTTCATGTCTCACATCTAGGTCTTTAATCCATTTTGAGTTCATTTTTGTGTATGGTGAAATATTCTTTCCTCCTTTGTTAAATATTAACTATGTATTTGTGGGTTTATTTCTGGGCTCTTTATTGATCTCAGTGTGTCTATTTTTTGCCAGTACCGTACTGTATTTATCACTACAGCCTTGTAATATAACTTGAAGTCTGGAACTATGATACCTCCAGTTTTGTTTTTCTGTTTCAGGATTGCTTTGGGTATTTGGGGTCTTTTGTGGTTCCACACAAATTTTAGAATTGTTCTAGTTTTGTAAAAAAAAAAAATGCTGTTGTATGTGTGTTTTTTGTTTTTTTTTTAAAGAAAAATTTATTTGAGAGAGAGAAAGCATGAGCAGGGGGTGGGGCAGAGGGTGAGGGAGAATGTCAAGCAGACTCTATGCTGAGTGAGGAGCCCAATGTGGGGCTCGATCCCATGACCTTGAGATTATGACCTGAGCCAAAACCAAGAGTCCAACA